AAGCCTGGAGCTCTAACTTATAAAAAAAACGAAATAAGCTCTTCTTTGGGTCCAAAGTCCAAACAGCATTTTTCGACTTTTTGGCCCAGTCTTCCTCCCTGGTTCATCATTCTTCAGGTAGCCATTTTTTAAACCTCTGAATCTCTGGATCTAAACTCTAGAATCTTGCTCCTTCTTTCGTGGAAGGAAAACAAAATACACAATCCCACTTGCTAAACCTTACGAATTCTGGATCTTCTCAATCCTGCAAACTAGCATTCAGACAAGTTCTTGGTGAGCTTCCTCCTTTTACCTGAAAATTCTTTTCTACGGTGCTAAAGTTCTCATTTTTAAGCTGAAAAGTTTGCATACTGATTAGTTATGTAGGTTCTTTATGAAGATCGACTGAATTCTGTTTCTGGGTTATGCTTGATTTTAACAAATGCTTCGGATAAATTCATGATCCCATTGTTTTAGTTCTCAAGCTTCCCCTTAGGATATGCTTGATTTCCATCAATCTAGAAACCCATAAGCTGGATTTGTGGTATGATGAATAATTATCCATTTAGTTCAAACAGTCCCAAATCCTTCAATGCATATCCAAGAAGTGATTTTGACATAGAATCAGGAACCATCAGAAGAGCCCGGAAGTTTCGAAATTCATCATTTCATCCCATCAGAATGGTTAAGTCCTTAGCCAACCGTATTCACTACTATTACAAGCTGCATCCAGTTCTTGTTTTCTTGTTGTCGTTGTCATTTGGTGTCACAATTCTGATAATTCTATCTGTGTATGAGAACCACTACAAGATGTTGAGTAATTATAGAAAACCCGACATTGGGTTTAATGATAATCCGTATGCAAAGCTTCAGAATCTTGTAATGGTTGCTGGGCATTCAGTGTATACCAGTAGTAATTGTGGGAAAGTTGATGGGGAAGACTCTTGGCTTTTGATGCCCTATCAGAAGCATCCAGGTCAGGCTGCTACCTTTTTGGCTCACATACAGAAGGGGATAGACATTGCAGCAAAAGATGATGAGGCTTTGCTTCTGTTTAGTGGTGGAGAGACTCGAAAAGAAGCCGGTCCTCGTAGTGAGGCACAGAGTTACTGGTCTGTTGCTGAATCAGAAGGATGGTTTGGTAGGTTTATATGTTGTTTGAAGTTTTTACAGTGTTGGCATTTTTCACTTCAAGTTCATATGCGTGAATTGGACTTAATCTTAACATGGAATTTAGTTCAAAAGACTAGCTTAATATTCCTTGGCAGTACTTGTGCATCTGAGAGCATTTAAACTTTAACTTTCTCACTTCATTACTGAAAAGGCAATCGCCATTGGATAATGTTCTGGTAGGTCTGTGAATGAGACAAAATGAAGAAAAAAATAAATTAAAGTATTTAGATGCTATGCTTTTCCCCATAATCTGTAAAGGAAAATGAGTTTTTAGTTCAATTTTCTGTCTCCGGTAGTTTGTTTGGAATTCGATAATGTAGGGGGAAAAGAAAAAGGATTTGATTGTTTCTGTCCTACCTAGTTCTTCGTATTTGTTTCTGCAACAGGAAAGTTCTAATATCTGTTTTTCATTGTTATGGTGTTTCTGATTCTTTGGCAGGCAAAGAAGAAACTGTGAGATGGAGAGCATTGACAGAGGAGCATGCAAGAGATAGCTTTGAGAATCTTCTATTCAGTGTGTGCCGTTTCCGAGAGCTTACTGGGACATATCCACATAATATAACCGTAAGCAAATTGTAACCGAAGCGTTCTTCTCCATTTTAATAAAGCTAGTGACATGTATAACTAGGACTTACTGTGAAAAGTATAAAGAGGAAAATTACTAAGGAAGCAATGAATTGCTTTTATTTTATTCTATAGTGTCTCCTGCTCTTCATACAGAATACAAATAGCAACTAAAAGACTAATTTTTGGTTTTGCAAAGCAAACACAAGACTTGTTACTGTTATGATTTTGGCATCTGTTTGTTGGTCCTTGGAAAATTATATTGGTAAAGGGAAGTGGGTTAATATATGTGGTTTGCCTAGAAATTTATAGTTGCCAATACCAGCTTCAACATTTTAGATGCAATCTCAAAAGATTACAGGTTGATATAACGCCTTGAAGTCAGTTAAGAGCATATATTTCCTGCACTATGTTTCATTTTTAATGTATCTGACTTTGGAATTCTGCATCAACCAGAGTCCTTCATGCTAGACATTCATTTAGGCCTCCTGGAGTGGACAGGCACTGGAGAATATCTTCTTTTATGCTTTGGAATAATGTAAATAATCATAAATTTTGCTTTCATAGTGCATAGGCAGACAGAATTTATATGTATCATATTGTGGCATTTAGGCAGAAAATATCTCATTCTCATGTGCACCTGCATATGTCTCTGTAATTATAGCATCCTTGTTTTCTGGAAACAAGATTTTCTTATTCTGGCTATAATGGAACCAGGTTGTAAGTTACGATTTCAAGAAGGAGAGATTTGCACACTTGCACCGCTCTGCTATTGGTTTTCCAGAGTCACGGTTCTCCTTTGTGGGCACCCCGCCTTCACTAAATTCAAGAGAAGCAGCTTTGAAAGGAGAGGCATTGGTGAGGGCTCAATTTCAAGAAGACCCATATGGATGTATCAGCAAACTTTTGCGGAAAAAACTAGGCCGTAATCCCTTTCGTCGTACAATTCCTTATCCTGAAGGATGTCTTGAAATTGAACCCCTATTCAGATATTGTGGGACTGCTCCTTATCGAGGTTCTCTTCCTTGGGCACAATAAGGGTAAAACCTAGTCTCTTATTATCTTGATAGTGCATAGCCACAATCAAAACACACAAAAATTGATGCTTGACTTCATAATCTTGTTAAATGATATTTCTTTCACCCAATTAATAGAAAAGGGAAAGCTGAAATTGTCTCCACTGTTTGCTTCAGTTGTTTGGACCTTTGAATTTACTGCTACTAATCTAATTGTCTTCAATATTACCCTCAAATGCATCTGCATTAGCAAATGCATCTGCATTAGCAATTTCATGGTTGTAGGTGATATCTCAGTGAACGCTTTCAAATTAAGGTCCAGAACAACAAAGTAAAATCTTATTTCCTCAGATATAATAGAACATCAAGAGTACATTTATTTGAGAAGAAAACTTAAGAGGGTACTTGAGGTTTATCCTGAAATTTCAACAGAGTGGGAATGCAAGCATGACTACTGAAATCCATTTTGGCAATGGAAAACATTTTCTCTACCTAGTGTTCCTCAAGAAAGGGCAGCTCAAAGTCACCTCTTCAGACACTCCACTCAAGATAGCACCCTTCATGAGACCTCCCAGTAATTCTCCACGGTCTAAGAAGAACTCTACTTTCAGGATCTTCATGTCTTCATCCACCTGTTTGCACAGAGAATAAGAGTTAGTCTGTACCAAAGAAGAGAAAGGAAGAAATAAATGAATTTGACATAAATGGTATATATATTTACATGGAAAATCGACATTCCAAAGAGTTCTACTAGTTCTCCAGTTGGAGCATGGCCTTTGAAAGGACCTTCCATATATGCCCAGTGTCTGAATTCGTATACAATCACTGGAGGTCCTGAATACACCTGGAGAACCTCCAGGGCAAACCCTCTTGGGAACGCTGTTGTGAAAGCAACATGAGCAGAATCTACAGTTTCCTCTGCCGGATTGAAGCCTCTTAACTTCTCCGGTAAGGAAGTTTGCATAAAGGAGTTATAACCTCCCCCGATCTTGCGCGTTTCTTCCAAGGTTTGTGGTTTCCTTCCTGCATTTTACACCCAAAACATTAGTTTCTTCCAATGAAGCAATTGTCTAATGGTAAAGTGACCAGTTGAGATTTGAACATCCAGAATATAAGTACGATTGTCACAGATAGAAAAAAAAAAAAAA